GATACTGATGTGGATACATCACCACAGTTATCCCTCCTACTGACCTTTTAATAGCAACAAACTTCCCATTTCCCCCCATACTAACTCCACGGCAACCACTGATCTGTTCAATTCTAAATTCTGTCATTTCAGGAATCATACAGTATGTAAGCCTTTAGAAACAGGCTTTTCTTATTCACTTAGCATAATTCTTAGGAAATTCATCGCATTTGTTTCATGTGTCAATTCTTTTTAATTGCGAATAGTCATCTGTAGAATGAGTATGCTGTAGCTTGTCTAACCATTTGCTGGTGGAAGGACTGTTTCCAGTTTTGGGCTATTATGAAGTAAACGTACAGCTAGCTTATATGTACTTTCTTAGGTAGGTTTTTATGTGAATGTAAGTTTTCATTTCTTTTGAAATGAAATAATGCCTAGGAGTCTATTCAGGGTCATCTGGTAGTGGCATGTTTAATTTTTTAAGAAACTGCCAAACTTTTCTAGAATGGCAGTACTGTTCTACATTCTCAGCAGGAAAATTTGAGTTTCTCTGTATCCTTGCTAGTATTTGGTAGTGTCATTATTTTTCCTTTTTCCATTCTGATAGATGTGTGGGTTTTTTTTTTTTTTGGTGTTTTGAGACAGGGTCTTGATCCCTTGTCTTTGCTAGAGTTCAGTGGCGTATCAATTCACAGCAAAGTGAAACTCCTGGGTTCAAATGATCCTCCTCAGGCCTCCCAAGTAGCTGGGACTATAGGTGACACCACCATGCCCGGCTAATTTTTCTGTTTTTCTAGTAGAAAAGTAGGGTTTTGTCTTACTGCCCAGGCTGGTCTTGAACTCTTGGCCTTCCACTTCTACCTCTGAAAGTGCTATCTATGCTACCTCTGAAAGCATAAACTATCTCTGTATGGTTTAATTAGCATTTCCCAAATGGCTAATGCCTATGATCATCTTTTCTTTTCTTTCTTTCTTTTTTTTTTTTTTTTTTTGAGATAGCCTCAGGCTATCGCCCTGGGTAGAGTGCTGTCCCATCACAGCTCATAGCAACCTCCAACTCCTGGGCTTAGGCGATTCTCTTGCCTCAGCCTCTCAAGTAGCTGGGACTACAGGTGCCCGCCACAATGCCTGGCTATTTTTTGGTTATAGTTGTCATTGCTGTTTGGCAGGCCCAGGCTGGATTTGAACAGCCAGCTCTGGTGTATGTGGCTGGCGCCTCGGCCGCTTGAGCTATAGGTGCCAAGCCTGATCATCTTTTCATGTGCTTATTTGCCATCTGTATATTCTATTCTGTGAAATATCTGTGCAAGTCTTTTGCTTATTTTTATACTGTATTTAATTTTATAGTTTTTTTTTCGGCCGAGCCTGGGTTCGACCCCACCACCTCCGGCATATGGGGCTGGCGCCCTACTCCTTTGAGCCACAGGCGCCGCCCTACTGTATTTAATTTTAGAATATTTAGATGTTCAAAATGATTGTGATGCTATGACAGAATTCTCATATATACCTCTCACCCAGTTTCCCATGTTAGTATTGTGCATTTGTCATAATTAGTGGACCAATACTGATACATTATTACCAAAAGTCCATTCTTGATTCATATTTTCTTAGTTTTTACCTATTTCCCTTTTACTCTTCAGGATTCCATCCAGGATACCACCTTACATTTAGTCATCACATCTCCTTAGGGGCCTCTTGGCTATGACAGTTCTTAGGCTTTCCTAGTTTTTGATGACCTTGATAGTTTTGAGGAACACTGGTCAGGTGTTTTAGGGTTTATCTGACATTTTTCTTGTAATTAGACTGGGGCTATATAGGTTTGGACCACAGAGTTCACTTTTCCTTCTCATCAATCATATCAGTGACTTATACTGCTGATGTTACTGCCTGGCTCAGGTAGTTTGTCAGATTTCCTTTCCAATTTTCATACTATACTATTTGGGAGAATGTTGCCTATAGGAGTGAGGAATTACACTTCAGCTCTTTGAGAGTGAAGTATCTATATAAATTATTCGGAATTTCTCTGCAAGGGAGATTTGTCTATTCTTTTTTTTTTTTTTTTTTAGTGTAGATTCAATGGATATTTATTTTGGGTTATGATCCAATACCACCCTATTTATTTTGTTGCTAAAATTGTTTTGCTTTGGTCACTGGGAGCTCATTCAGTTGGCTATATCCTCTTGACCAGGGGTCCTCAAACTTTTTTTTTTGAGACAGAGCCTCAAGCTGTCCCCCTGGGTACAGTGCCAGTGGCATCAAAGCTCACAGCAACCTCCAATTCCTGGGCTCAAGTGAGTCTCCTGCCTCTGTCTCCCAAGTAGCTGGGACCACAGGCGCCCGCCACAACGCCTGGCTATTTCTTGGTTGCAGCCGTCATTGTTGTTTGGCGGGCCCAGGCTGGATTCGAACCTGCCACCTTAGGTGTATGTGGCTGGTGCCTTAGCCACTTGAGGCACAGGCGCTGAGCCAGGTCCTCAAACTTTTTAAACAAGGGGCCAGTTCACTGTCCCTCAGACCACTGGAGGGCAAGACTGCGGGCCCAGGATGAGTAGGCTGCTAAGCAGGACAGACTGGGCGTGGGGGTGGGGATAAATGTCCTAGGCAGGCTGCATGTGGCCCAGGGCAAGGCCATAGTTTGTAGTCTTCACTTTTTTAACCCTTTCATACTTTCTGGCACTATAAGATGCTTCTGGCTTATCTAGGATATTTCCTATTCCAGTCCTAGAATCAGTTATTATAAGCTCTTCTTTTTGAAGAATGGTATTAGGAATCAAGATTTAGGGCAGTGCCTGTAGCTCAGTGGGTAGGGTGGCGGCCATATACATGAGGCTGGCGGGTTCAAACCTGGCTCTGGCCAGCTAAAACAACTGCAACAACAACAAAAAAATAGCTGCATTGTGGCAGGTGCCTATAGTCCCAGCTACTTGGGAGGCTGAGGCAAGACAATTGGGTAAGCCCAAGAGTTTGAGGTTGCTGTCAGTTCTTGAGACTCTGTCTCAAAAAAAAAAAAAAAAAAAAAGGAATTAAGGGCAGTGCCTGTGGCACAAAGGAGTAGGGCACCCCATATGCCAGAGGTGGCTGGTTCAAACCCAGCTTGGGTCAAAAACTGCAAAAAAAAGGGATTAAGATTTAGCTCCACCTCCACCTTTTTTTTTTTTTGCCTTTTCACTAGTTTTGAGAATGTTTATTCTTGTTTATTTTGGGGGTGTGTGTGGCAGGTCTTACTGTGTTTCCCGGGCTAGAGTGCAGTGGCATCACCATCATTCATTGCAACTTCAAACTCCTGGGTTCAAGTGATCCCCCTGTTTCCTCCTGAGTAGCTGGTCCTACCAGCACTGCATACTACCTGGCTAATTTTTAAATTTTTTGTAGAGATGGGGGTCTTGATCTTATCCATGCTGGTCTTGAATTCCTGGCCTCAAGCGATCCTTGTGCTTCGGCTTCCCCAAATGCTAGGATTGCAGGCATGAGCCAGCCATCACACCAGGCTGAGAGTTCTTTATGTTTTTCAGACACTAGTCCTTTGTCAAATAGGTCATTTGCAAGTATTTTATCCCAGCCTGTAGCTTGTCTTTTCATTCTCCTAACTGAGCAGAAGTATTTAATTTCGGTGAAGTCCAGTTTATCATCTTTTCCTTAAGTTTTAGCCTCCCAAAGTCCTAGGATTATACGTGTGAGCCGCTTCACACCACTTACCATTGCTTTTAATGAATTAATACTTAAATGCCTCAATTTTAATTTGTAGTACAATAAATAATTGTAAATATAACTTACAAAACCAATAGTCCTTGAGGTTTGTAACAATTAGGGGGTCCTGTGTCCCTCAAAGTTGAGAACATAGAGGATGCAGAACTGAAGATAGAGAACTGAAATTCAAGTTTCAATTCTGTCACTTAATTGATTCTGATTTTACTTAGGCGCAGGCTGTGAAGTCAGACTGTCTGGGTTCATAATTTGGCCCACCTGCTTGCTGGTTGTGTGACTTTGGGTGAGTCATTTTACCTCTGATAAGGATAAACTATTGCATCTACTTCATCAAGTTGCTGCTTACAACCATAGCTAGAACACAGAGCTCAGTAAATGTTAGCAACTTGTAGTCTATAATGTTAACTAGTCATCTAGGACACAGTCTTGGCTTTCTTCATCCTGTCCATAGAGAACAGAAACTATTTGGGTGTTACAAACTTGAGGGGAAGTTTAAGTCAACGTGCATATTTGTGTGTGGCTGTTAATTTGTAAAGAGAATAGGTTATAAAAATTTCCTCTTTCAGTTTCAGTAGAAATAACAAGACTGAAAAAACATTCCCTGAATCTTTGCCTATCTCCTAGCTACAACCTAGGAAAGTGTCTTGTTCAATAGCCAAAGGAACTGAGGTCTTGCAGAAAATGAAATGCTCATGGGAGCAAGCCAGAGTAGGTTCACGAGCGTGGGAAATCCTAACTTTACACCTCAGTTACGTCATCTCGTTTGGACAAACACACCTCCTTTCCAACCAGAATTCCGTGAAGATCAACTCTAACGTTTTTTAGGGATACCTTTTTGTCAGCCTCTAAATGCCATAAACACAAGCTGGGGAGACAACCTTCTTTCCTTGCAGATGCCAATGACAGCCGTTCTCGGCTTGCAGACGCGGGGGTCGGGACCCGGGCAGCTGCCGCCAGCGCCCTCCCCACGGCGCGGCATCCCCGCGTGCCCACCGCGCCCTGCTCCGGGGTGGGGGTGCCCAGAGCAGCCCTGCTTCAGGCCTGCTCGCCCACCTCGCCGGTGAAGAGGCGGGATTGGCTGATCTTGAAGAACCTTTCCATCACAGAAACCCGAAGAGCTCCCGGCCCCTCCCTCTTCCAGACCGCGGGCTCCAGCTCCCGGCCCGCAAGCAGAGCCACGTCTCGCGCGATCCCCTCCACCTCTCGCGACACTTGCCGCCTGTGCCCCCGCAGCCCTGCCCGCCCCGCCGGTGGCCGCCGCGCCTGGGCTCTGCAGCCGGCGGCGCTCGTGGGCTGGGAGCGCGGGGGCGCCCCGTGCTCGGGGCCGCAGGCTCCACCCCGCCCCGCCCAGGCTCTGGGTAAAGGCCGCCGCGGGGACATGTCGTGCCCCCCTCAGCGAGGGCGGGAGAGCGTGAAAGGCAGCGGGGCTGCCAGGTGAGTTCGCCTGGCCGCCGGCGCTGGGCGAGGGCGGCCCGGACGGGGCGCCGCGGGTTGCGGATGCCGGGTCCGAGGAGGACGCGTGGTGGGGGCGGGGAGGAGGGGGCTGGGAGGACCCGCCCGGTGGGGTCGGGGGAGACCCGGGCTGCGGGGAGCTGCCGGGGCCTCAGATCCCGACTGCGCCCTCAGGCGCCGGGAAATTCTCCTGGGTCCATTGGTGGCTCCACTTCTCTCCGGAGGCGGGAGGGGACCAGACCCCGAGCTCTGAAGCCCGGAGCGGGGTGGCAGGAGGCCCGGGTCGGTGGGGAGAAGGAGCACGTCCGTGTGTGCCAGGAACGGGGACAGAGGGGCCAGGGCCGGGGCGCGTCTGCCGAGATGCAGAGCCTCGCCCTCGCGTCGGAGCCGCTGCGGAACGTACTGCCGACGTCCGCTGCCTTGTCCTTTGCCGAGCGATACTAGCGTTGAAGAGGGAGAAACACATCGGTCGGGGTCGTCTTTGCGGCTCTGACAGGCTTTTGAGGTCGCCTCATAGTTTTCACCTGAGACTCGGGGCAACGTGAGTGGGTGTGCGCGTGCGCACAGTGGTCCCAGGCACGGTTTGATATTTTCAGCTCTTTAAGCAACTTCAAGGATCAATCAAAATGATTGCTTCTTAAATGAGTAGTTTTATTTTCTGTATTTTAAGATTCCAATAGATTGTAAATGTGCGATGATGGGGGGGGTGTTATAACCTTGGTTGCAGTGAATTTTCTGCTTTTGGCAATAGGCTTAGGTTGGAAATTGGGGTTAAATGTTTTGTTGCAATCACGTTTTGACCCTGTGTTCTTGTGATTCTGGGTTTGTTTGTAACCTACTGTCTGAATAAAATCATGCAGTTTTCTGAGAAACAATTGGAAGCTGAGTGCAAAATGGTTGATCTAATAGAAGCATTTGTTTAAAGCTCCCTCCCACCCAGCTATTAATTTGTTATTTCGATTTTAAATTATATAGCCCCTTTAGGTTTTGTTCTTAGGTGCAGAAATGGCTTCTTAAGATGACCAGGTTTTTTTGTGCGTGTGAACAATTACACTGCTAGAAGGGAAATCGTCTCCTCATAGTTTTCTTTTATCTTTAGAAAGCGAAATGTCATCAGTGGAGTCACACCAGGAACAGTTGTCCCAGTCAGATCCATCGTCCTCACCAAACTCATGTAGTTCCTTTGAGCTGATAGACATGGATGCTGGCAGCTTGTATGAGCCAGTTTCTCCGCATTGGTTTTATTGTAAGATAATAGATTCTAAAGAGACATGGATTCCTTTCAACTCTGAGGATTCACAACAGCTAGAAGAGGCATATGGCTCTGGTAGGTGAAACTAATTTCTTTTTTTTTTTTTTGAGACGGAGCCTCAAGCTATCCCCCTGGGTAGAGGGCCGTGGCTTCAACGCTCACAGCAACCTCCAACTCCTGGGCTCAAGTGAGTCTCCTGCCTCAGCTTCCCAAGTAGCTGGGACTACAGGCCCGGGCCACAATGTCTGGCCATTTTTTGGTTGCAGCCATCATTGTTGTTTGGCGGGCCGGGGCTGGGGATTCGAACCCGCCACCTTAGGTGTATGTGGCTGGCACCTTAGCCGCTTGAGCCACAGGCGCCCATCTGTGAAACTAATTTCTGATGGACAAAGACCTTTCATCTCTTTTAAACTGTAATAGAGAATAGACCTGGCAGGGTGCAGTGGCTCACACCTGTAATCCCAGCACTTTGGGAGGCTTGAGACAGAAGGATTGCTGTAGGCCTAGAGTTCAAGACCAGCCTGGGCATCATAACAGGACACCATCTCTAAAAAAAGTTTTTTAGAAAGCCAAATGTAGTGCAACTTGCCAATAGTCCTAGCTACTGAAGAGGCTGAGGCAGGAGGATCCCTTGAAACCAGCAGTTCAAGGTTGCAGTAAGCTATGATCACACCATTTCACTGCAGCCTGGCCCCATCTCTAAAAAATAAGTCGCTAGGGTAGAGTGTCAGATTGCAGAAGAATGAACTTTTACCTTATTTGTTTTTTTGTTTATGAAACAAGAATGGTGCCTGTTACAGTAAATCATCATGATGGTCATTAATGTACTTTTTGGTCCCTGAAGCAAAAAATTCAGAAAAATCTTACATACTTTTTTTTTTTTAAAGGGACACTACTGTTTTTCTCAGAAAAAGAACAAAACCATTTGGATAGTATGTTTTTCAAGTTTCGTTTAAATCAACAAGGATTTTGACGGTTTCTAATGTAGTACAAGAATAGGAATTACATTTTCTTTAGCATTTAGCCAAATAGAAATTGTTCATTCATGTGTTTAATATTATTTAGAGAAAAACTCAAAATTATATTTTGAAATATGTATTTCTTTTCCTCTTTCTAATCCTTGATAGGAAAAGATTGCAATGGGAGAGTTGTCCCCACTGACGGGGGCAGATATGATGTTCATTTGGGGGAGAGAATGCGGTATGCTGTCTATTGGGATGAGCTAGCATCAGAAGTGAGGCGATGTACGTGGTTTTACAAGGGAGACAAAGACAATAAGTATGTTCCCTACTCGGAGAGCTTCAGCCAAGTTTTAGAGGTATTCTTGTGACCCTTTTTAATTCATTTTTTAAAAACTTGTTTCTTATTTAATAATCTTTTTTTTTCTTTGTGTAACTAACTTTGTGGAATTTCCAGAGTTTGCTTCTCTCTGTATGACATTATAAAATTTAATAAACCATTCTATTTTGCAAGTTAGTTTCAGGATGGAGTAGTTTTATTTTTAGATTTTAAAATATTGTGGAAAGTATATTAGGCTTTTAATTTAAATTAAAAAAAAATAAATTTTTCCCTAGTGTCAGTCGTTGTTAACATTTAAACTGTGACCACAGGATTGATCTCTTTTGATTTTCATTTTTCCTTTTCTTTTTTTTTTTAACAAAGAGAAATTTTATTTAAGAATAAGAGAAAGCTTAGTGCCCTTACAAAGAGAGTTGGAACTGTGTCTCTCTCACAAGTAAGAAGAGTGAGATCTATTTTTACATTTCTTGCTTTGAGAACTGAAATTTGTTTTCTTAAAACTGGAGTAGGACGTTAATATTTTTTTTTTTGAGACAGAGCCTCAAGCTATCCCCCTGGGTAGAGTGCCGTGGCATTACAGCTCACAGCAACCTCCAACTCCTAGGCTCCAGCGAGTCTCCTGCCTCCGCCTCCCAAGTAGCTGGGACCACAGGCACCCGCCACAACGCCCGGCTATTTTTTGGTTGCAGCTGTCATTGTTGTTTGGCGGGTCTGGGCTGGGGATTTGAACCTGCCACCTTAGGTGTACGTGGCTGGCGCCTTAGCCGGTTGAGCTATAGGTGCCGAGCCAGGATGTTAATATTATTGACAGGAATATATAAAAATGTGAACAGCGATTAGATGTTGAAATTAAGAGTAATTTTTAAAAATTATTATTATTTTATTTCAGGTTAATGTGAGGATACAAACAACCAGATCAAAATATTTGAATTTGTTAGGTACAGTCCCTCTTGCAGTTATGTCCTACACCAAAAGGTGTGCTGAACACTCCGGACTCTGTGCCCATTCAGTGGGAGCACCCTTCCGCCCCCACCCCCAACTTGAATTTAAATGAGTTTTGTCTCCTTTGTGGGCATGCAAGAGTGATTTTTTTTTCCTCCTGTGCTATTATCTGTTGTAATTTTGAAGGAATTTAAAAATAAACTTGATGGCTGGGCGCCTGTGGCTCAAGTGGCTAAGGCACCAGCCACATACACCTGAGTTGGCGGGTTCAAATCCAGCCCGGGCCTGCCAAACAACAATGATGGCTGCAACCAAAATATAGCCGGTTGTGGCAGGCGCCTGTATGGGAGGTGGAGGCAGGAGACTTGCTTGAGCCCAGGAGTTGGAGGTTACTGTGAGCTATGATGTCACAGCACTCTACCCAGGGTGACAGCTTGAGAGTTTGTCTCAAAAACAAAACAAAACAAAACAAAACAAAAAAAACTTGATAAATTGGCATCGGATATTCTTATTAGAACTCATGTATCTAGTGTTCTTATGAATAAGTTCAGTAGGAAAGCTATTAGAGAAAAATGATGAAATGTGTTTTCTTTTAAGGAAACTTACATGCTTGCTATAACTCTGGATGAATGGAAAAAAAAACTGGAGTCTCCCAACAGAGAAATTATTATATTACACAATCCAAAGGTAAAACGAATTAAAGTATTTCTCTAATGTGCTTTATGGTTAATTGCATTACTAAGGAGAACTTAATTGATTTCTTTTTCCTACAGACTCTACATAGGATAACTTCTGGCAAATTTAACATTGAATTCACAATTAGAAAATTTAAAACCTGTAGCCATTACCATAATTTACTCCATTTATGTTGGTGTTAATTTTTTTATTTGCTTGTTTTTCAGCAGGCCCAGGCTGGATTTGAACCCACCAGCCCCAGTGTATACGGCCGGTGCCCTAGCCACTGAGCTTTGGGCACCGAGCCTACTCCGTTCATCTCCTACAAAATAATTTTCTTAGGAAAAATTGTGCCACTATAGATTAAGAAAATACCAGTACATTATGTGAGCATATCTTCTGTGTGCAATAAAGGGTATTTATTGTTGAAAGATCTATTAGCCTAATGTATTTTCAGGGTTTTTATTTCAAGCTATAAGGGTTTCATATCAAAACTCCAGTTGAGATTTGATTATATGTTTTGAAAGACACGTTCCTACTCTTTTAAATACAGTATTATGTAGAGATGACTAGAATGTAAAAGATTGCTCTCATCTTTTCTATTTAAGCTCATGGTACATTACCAGCCAGTTGCAGGGTCTGATGAATGGGGGTCAACACCTACTGAGCAAGGTCGACCAAGAACAGTGAAGAGAGGGGTTGAGAATATCTCTGTTGACATTCATTGTGGTAATCTTAAAAATTTATTTTTTTATTATCTGACATACTTATGTGTTTATTCCTTTAATTATGACTTTTTCTGTAGATTTAGATGAAGGCTTAAAAATAATCCTTAACCATATAGACTTAAACTGAATTGATTTAATGTACTAAAAATTGCTTCATCAGTTCCTCTATTAAGAATCTTAATAGATGTAATAATCTCTTTTGAAGCTTCTAAGTACATATAGTTGGGTGCGTAAAATTTGGTAGTACTAAAGAGAAAATCATTAAGTACAGATTTTAGTCCCTAATTCTAAGAAGTGTGACTTTACCTGCTTGTGGAGAAATTTATTGACTAACTCCTGTCCTTAAAGATTTTCATCTAAGGAAAACTATTTTTCAATAGGACCTTGATGATTATCCATTGCTATCTAGCTAGGGTCACTCTTGTTTGGTTTTATAATATATTTATCTGGATTATAAAATTTCTTTTGTCTTGAAGAGGAAATGACTTGTGTCTTGGACAAAGTCTTAGTTTACTCCAATTCAAAAAATGAAGTTTAAAATTTCAGATTTAAAAACATTATCAAAAAAAAAATAAAAATATTATCAGTTGATTAAAGTAGAATATGAGATAGCAGTATTCTATCAGTGTTAAATTACCTAAATTCAGTAACTGTATTTTGGTTATGTAAGAGAATATTCTTAGGAAATATACATTAAAATATAAAAGGGTTAAAGAAGTATGCAAAGTAAATGTGTGTATGTACATAAACAGAAAATAATAAAGCACACGTGGTAATTGTTGAAAAGTTGAATCTGTGTTAAAAAGTGCACGCATCTTTTCTGTTCTTTCTAGTTTTCTGTAAGTTGGCAGTTATTTTAAAATAAAAAGTTTTAAAAACCTGAAAATTGTTTTCAGACTTAATTTCAAAATAAATTAGAAATAGTATAATCACTATATTTTTACTAAGTTCTTAAATGTAGGACTATTTCAGGTCTTTTTAATTATATTCATATTTTAACTTACACATATTTATAACCTCTTTTTTATTTTTGATTTTAGAATACATGACTAATTATACAGCATAATTTTTCTTTGTAATTTCATTCATAGGAGAACCTTTACAAATAGATCACTTGGTTTTTGTAGTCCATGGGATCGGACCAGCTTGTGATCTCCGATTTCGAAGCATTGTACAGTGTGGTAGGTTTGCAAAGCATGCAAGATGACTGAATAGTATTAGTCAGTGCTTCTGTGAGCTGAGATTAAGCATTGTCTTTTGTCTGTTGTCTTAGCTGCATAATAAGATTTGGAGAGCTAAAGACAGGTGGCCAGTAAGTAAAGCTCTCCAGCTTAGCTGTAAAGTATTAGTTCCTGAGGCTACTAGTTTATACTCTTAACTGCTAATTCTTGAGTGCATAGCCCTTGATAAAGATGATAGAGTTTAAATGAATAAAAAAAGCTTCAATCATTTTGTAATTCATACTTTGATGAACCTCTTGATAGTCTTAATAGGGAGATTTAAGTCATTAGTGTAACTAGATTTTGAAAAACCGGGCAGGGGCCGGGTATGGTGGCCCATACCTATAATCCTAGCACTCTGGGAGGCTGAGGTGGGTGGATTGCTTGAGCTCACAGGTTTGAGACCAGCCTGAGCAAGAGTGAAACCCTGTCTCTAAAAATAGCCAGACATTGTGGTGGGTGCCTGTAGTATTCTCATCCTTGGGAGGATGAACTGAGAAGTTTGAGGTTGCTGTGAGCTAAGATGCCATGGGACTCTACCAAGGCAACAAAGTGAGACACTGTCTCAAAAAAAAAAAAAAAAGATAAAACTTGATAATATTCAAGTCTAATTGTCCCATTAGGGAGTCTGATTCTACTGGTTAATGGTTCTAGGCATAAACTAGAATTGTATCCTGGAAGGTTAAGATCCATGTGATAGGAATTTCAAAGGCAGTGTGGTGTTTTTTTGTTTGTTTTGTTTTGAGACAGATTCTCACTCTGCTACCCTAGGTAGAGTGCCATGGCATTGTAGCTCACAGCAACCTCAAACTCTTGGGCTCAAGTGATCCTTTTACCTCAGCCTCCCAAGTAGCTGGGACTACAGGCGCCCACCATAATACCCCCAGCAGTTTGTCTGTTTTTAGTAGAGATAGGGTCTTACTCTTGCTTAGGCTGGTCTCAAACTCCCGAGCTTGAGCAGTCTACTTGCTTTGGCCTCCCAGAGTAGTAGGAGTACAGGTGTGAGCCAACACACCCTGCTGAGCAGTATGGTTTTTTTTAACCTACAGTATTGGATGGTGGTTATTTATAAGAACCAGAAAATTGGCTCGGCGCCTATAGCTCGGCCGGCTAGGGCGCCAGCCACGTACACCTAAGGTGGCGGGTTCGAATCCCCAGCCCGGACCCGCCAAACAACAATGAC